GTATAATTTAATAAAACAGTAAAAAAAGTAAACCAACCTAATCTAAATTACCTAAACTAACCACCTAATCTAAATTACCTAAACTAACCACCTAATCTAAATTCCCTAAACTAACCACCTAATCTAAATTCCCTAATCTAATCACCTAACTACGAATTAGAGAGAACCTTTAGAGGATTCAGAGAGAAGCTTACTAGAAAATGAGAAACCGGATTACTCGAGTATATATAAAGAATTTTGTTTCCTCGTAAAGCCCTAGTAACGTTACTAGGACCTTACGAGGAAATAGCTATGCCCATGTTTTTATTTCCTCGTAAGGTCCTCGTAATGACGTTACTAGGGATTTACGAGGAAAACTCTTCATCCCGGAGAACTTTTGCCCTTTATCAACACATCTTGAGAGATTTGAAACATACCCATCAGGGAACTTCACTTCTGAAGCCACCCAGTTGAACAACACAGACTTTTTTTCTGATGACAATCTGATTATTGGAACTAGAACTTGCCCATTGCTTTTTATATGTAGCTCACTCCTTGAGCAGATATCGGGTAAGTCCAACCTTGGTTTTACGTTGTCTTTCATCTTCCCTAGGACATTCAATATAGTGTTCATGATGTTCTCAAAAAAGTTATTCTCTATATGCATCACATCGAGGTTGTGGCGCAAAAGAAGATCTTTCCAATATGGCAATTCCCAAAATATACTCTTTTTGTGCCAATTGTGCTGAACACCATAAAAATCAGACATATTACTGGGAACATGCCAATTCCCACCACGAGGAGTTGTTTCTAGAGCACAGTAGTAATCGATTTGCGCTTCGATTTGTTCTCCAGTTAAATATGGAGGAGGAGTGTCTCTGACAACCCTTTTGTGCCTGAAAAATTTCTTGTTTCTTCGGTATGGGTGGTGAATGGGAAGAAATCGACGGTGACAATCGAACCAACTAGTCTTCCTACCATGCTTCAAATGAAACGCATCTGTCATTCCATTACAATATGGACAAGCTAATCTCCCATGTGTAGCCACCCATACAACATACCATATGCAGGAAAGTCACTTATGGTCCAGAAAAGCATCGCTCGCATTGTAAAGTTTGTTTTCGTTGAACAATCATATGTCCTCACCCCTGTTGACCACAAATCTTTCAACTCTTTTATCAGTGGTTGTAGAAAAACGTCGAGAGATCTTTTTGGATGTTTTGGACCAGGTATTAATATGCTCATGAATAGAAACTCTTGTCGCATGCACATCTCCGGTGGCAAATTATACGGTGTAAGAAAGACCGGCCACAATGAATATTGTCTCTCAGACATTCCAAATAGACTAAATCCATCAGTGCATAATCCAAGATACACATTCCGGCTATTGCTAGCGAAATGTGGATGTACATTGTTAAAATGTTTCCAGGCTCTGGCATCTGATGGATTAGTCATCTCTCCATCCGTCTGAGTATGCTCGGCATGCCATCTCATCCCTCCAGCAGTCTCCTCAGATTGGTACAATCTTTTCAATCTGTCTGTGATTGGTAGGTACCACATCCTTTGGTACAGTACCCTATTACGCCCTCGACCTTGCGGTTTGAATCGTGGCTTCTTACAAAATCGACATTCTTCTAACTTCTCATCATCTCCCCAGTAAATCATGCAGTTGTCGATGCAAACGTCTATCATCTCCGAGGGCAACCCAAGACTATATACCAATTTCTGAATCTGATAATAAGATTCAGCTGACACATTGTCTTCTGGCAAATACTCTTTAAACAAGTCTGCCCATGCATCCATACAATTTTCAGGTAGATTGTAATAGGTTTTAATACTCATCATTCTAGCAGCCAACGACAATTTAGACAGACCTTCTCTACAACCACTGTAAATTGGCTCATTTGCAGCTTCTAACATTTCATAAAACTTTTTTGCATCTAAGTTAGGTTCTTCAACTTCATCATCATCATGACTTACAAAGGCATCACTTACCATATCATGAACCCTATCACTATCTACTATTTGTTCCTCTTGGTGATGATAGTTATTTTCATTACGCAAATGATCAACCGATTCAACCTAAAAATTGCTATTACTACTGCTACCTTCATCCTACAACTAGCATCATCTTCTCCATGTTGATACCAAATATAATAATATGGCATGAAACCTCTATTTATTAAATGCTTCCAAACATTTTCACGATGACCTAATTTTGTATTGCAGCATTTCCGACAAGGACAGAACATCTTACCACTTTCATGCGTGAGTGGTGTAGAATCTTCTTGATGCATAAACGTCTCCAACCCTTCGAGATATTCATTCGTCACCCTCCCGTTATTATCTCTGTGTGAATACATCCACTTCCGCAACTCGAAAATATTTCCTGGACCAGACATTTTTCTGTGTTTGATATCAAGCTTATAGCTGATTATTTTTTGGTGTGTTTCAAATGAATCACAATTGTGGTATTTGTAGAAATTTTCCAATCTGAGCACTTACTAGGAAATTGCTAGGAAATGTAGGTACAAAACACGCTTTTGATTTAAATTCCATATTTCCTATCCAGTTCCTCCTAATTTCGTAGTAACAAATATGTTCCTCTTAATTCCGTAGTAACATTTTACTAGGACTTTACGAGGAAACTAATTTACTACGGGCTTACGAGGAAATGTACTATTGCCACGTAATTTCCTCGTAATGTTACTACGGTGTACCAGGAAATATTTTTCTCGTACATGTACGAGGACCTTACGAGGAAATATGGTTTCCTCGTAATTTCGAAGTATGTTCGTCGTAACTTTACGAGGAATTTTTTTTCTAGTAAAATTTCATAGTAACTTCTTAGTTTTCTTGTACTGTGTATAGCCTATTTAGAAAAGCCCAAAACTATTATTGATTTAGATAAGCAAACATATAATGCAATAGTAATTTTCGGTGGTGAAAAAAAATTACCTTTATGTTTGTAATTAGTTAGTTATGTTATAATAAATTACCTTATTTTGGATTACTTGTGCACAATGTTTTTAAGCCCGAATCGGACACTGAACCAGATGACTTACCGGATCATAGGATCACTGGGTCGACCGCGGATGAACTGCAGGTTAATAAATGAAACTTTATTATATAATAATCTATTAGCTATGAAAATAAAAATATAGAAACTAAAGTTAAATATTTTTTAATATTTTTTAAAACATAAAATGTATAAATATACTAAATATCAAAAACTAGTTTAGACTATTTAAATTTTCTTATAACAAATTAAGAGTAATGACATCTAAAAAAAATCAAGATATAAAATTCAGAAATATTTAAATGTCTAATGAGAATAATAAATTAAACTTCAAATCCAAAATAAACCAAAAGAAAAACATCATTGTAATAAATGATCAATAACAAAAATAAACTAACACCAAATCACATCAACTAATTTTAGTTCTCGCTACCACCCTTTAGTTCATTTTCTTCAGGTGTCATAGCAAAATCTTCATCAAAATCTAAAAATCACAGATAAAATAGTGTAGTAGGTCTGTAGGTATTATGTATGATAAAAAGTCAGAAAGTTTAATCTAAATTTAAAAAAGAAGACGTTAATACCAATAACTAAAACGTGATAACCTAATTTTTAAATTAGAATATAAAACATAATTTAAATTTTTTTTTTAAAAAGGTAAAAGTTTATTTATTGGTTCAACCAGTGGTTCAACCGGATCGGGTTTTCGGTTTAGTGGATTTTTACCGGGGTTTTTCAGGTTTTTAAATTTTGGGTATTTAACAAAACCCAAATCGGATTTATTTTGGGTCACCGGGTTTACCGGTACAACTGCGGATCCGGGTCAGGTTTCAAAACACTGCTTGCGCAAGATTATTAATTAATAACTCTCCTTATTATTCAATCGGTAAACTTACGCAGCTTGATTCCATATTTATTACATTATTTAAATGCAATTTACCTTAATGTTTCTAATTAGCCTTTTCGATTTTAATAACTTACCTTTCTAATATTGATTACTTGCGCAAGTTAAAATCATATTATAATAACTTACCTTTCTAATATTGATTACTTGCGCAAGTTAAAATCATATCATAGGCAACTCACTTTATTCCAATACAAATTTATTATCTTTCTTTAAACAATTTCATCATTTATTATGAAAAATATTTTCTAAAAATCATTATTATGAAAAATAAATCCTTATATATATATGGGCGACCCCCCCCCCCAAGGTCTTAAAATCCAAACCTTCTTATCTTTTGCTAACAATTTTCCCAACGAATGGCAATGGTTCAAGCCCCCAAAAATATTGTTTCTTATGTTAGAGAATTAAAACCGCGTAAAGATATATCGCTTATTGAAGTTATGATTATTAGGTTGTGGAGAATTTAAAACAAAGAATCAGGAAACACTATTGAAATGTTTTTTCGTTGATAAAGAAGTAAGTCATTATATTACTACGATTTTTGACATCTCAGATTCGCCTTTAATCTTTATTTTTCTAAAACAAATCTTGGAAAAATATTGTTTTATATTTACTTATTCTGCTTTCACCACACTCTTATCATTTAGTTGTCTAAATCATAACTTTTATATGGGCAATCAGGGGACAAGAATTCATGCTTCTGTTAGTGAAGGGCTCATCAAAAAGTATGAAGACAAGCTACATGAGGGAGATGCGATAGTCGTCCAGTTATTCAAAGTGTACGATGCTATTGGTGATTATCGGACAACCACACATCCGTACAAAATTGGTTTCTTTTCCAACAACTTTTGTTGGAAAAGCTGATGAGTCCAAGTGAAGTTCCCGAAAAGTATTTTGCGGATTACAATGATATTCTACATGGAAAGATAACAGCTGTTTGGTTGGTAAGTCCATTTCTATAACAAAAATGATTTGAAGTTAAATATTATTTCGGTTTTGTCATACTTGTTCTTGATTTTTTTTTCTCTAGATGTAATTGGCCAAATAGTTTACTGCAGGTCTCTGCAAAACAAAATAATAAATGGAAAAGATAACATGCGGCTCTTGATTGAGTTACGTGACTAAAAGTAAGCTTAACTGCTTTATCTTTTTGTTTTAATTGCTAGCTAAACATCTATATTATGTTTATTAACTTAAGTTTATATATTTTACAGTAATGTGAAGATGATTTGTACTCTATGGGGTCGTTATGCTAAAAAAGTATACGATTACAGTATGAGTAACATGTCCACAATGATTATTTGTGTTATCGGGTTCTCTTCTATTAAAAAGTTGAAAGATATATAAAACGTACTTACGTTTCTAAAATGTTTATTTGCACAACATGTTAATAAAATCTAAATATTATAGGTGCTTACTTCATATCTAGCGGGTATAATTCAACCCATAATTTGTTCAACCCAACACTGGATTTGATTAACCAGTTCAAAGCAAGGTACTCCTCCAGTTTGGCAGTTTTTGTTAAGAGATTCTACTTTTTTTCTTTGTACACAACCTACTACAAATTTTGAACTGGATGTATTACTTGATTGTGCAGTCTCCCTAATGATTCTCTTGCTCTTACAAACAACGAGAGAACCCAATGGTCTGTTGGTACTGCTACATCTGTTCGTGCCAGGTTTTTTGTTCTTAATGAGAGGCTAACCATAAGAGAGATCATTGATAGTACTCTGGTATATAAACTAAGCCCTCCATTTTCTTATCCTTTCCAGGTGATTTAATTCCCTTTGTTATCATATAGGTATTTAGTTTTATTTTCGTTTACGAATAGGTCGGGACTTTTGTTACCATGGGCACTATTGAAGGCATAGATGCTGAACGTGGATGGCAATACCTAAGTTGTAAATACTGCAACAAAAAGGTATTTCCTACAACCAATGTTGATGACGATATGCGTCCTTTGTTCTTCTGCAATACCTGTGATAAAGAACACATCAACGTCATATCAAGGTATTATAGTCTTCATGTTACCCAATGAATATATATATTAATGTATATAAGATTGAGATTATAGTCTTCTTGGTTTCAGGTTTAAATTAATTGCCAACGTTAAAGACAGTTCCGGTGAGGCAAATTTTCTTTTGTTTGATACCAACGCTCAAATGATTGTCCGTCGTACAGCTGCTGAACTCTATGATGAGGCACTTTTCAAAGCTGCCAATAATTTTACTTAATAACATTCTTTCGCTTAATCTATACCTTTAATTTATGGTAGAATGAAGATCCCGACTTCTTACTAGACGCATTTATTGACCTCTTTGGCAAGAGAATGCTTTTTGAAATTTCAGTTGATTCTGACAACATCAGAGGAAAGAGCTCTCAGTATCTTGTTCGTTGGGCTAATGATGATCATGAAATGATTGAAGAATTCGCAGCTTTGCCTCATAAATCGGTAAAACACTGATTATGATTGCTTAAGTCTGATAGATACACCTAAGCCAATATTTTGGGGACTTCTCTTTATTTTCAGGTTTTAATGTTGCTCGGCTCCGACGAGATTTCCGATGGTTCTGGTGGTTCTTCAGCAACTCCTGTGTCTAAAAGAAAAAGAAAAGGAGAGGAAGACAATGATGTTGAGGATCAACTCTCTGTCAACAAGAAACATGGTCAAAAGAAAATCAAGGGCGAGTTAAAATCAAAACAGCGCAGTGAAGCATGTCAACTCTTTGCTTTTATTTTCAGACAATATGACTTTGTCGTATTTCAGTATTTTATTATCTCATGGATTTGTCTTTTAGTATTTTATCTTGGGATTTTTTTTTTATTTTGTAAATATTACTTATGCTGAAACTGTTTTATTGGCTTTCAGTGTTATTCTTTTATTTCACGATGAATAACAAATTGTCTTCTCTTTTCTCTTTTGGTGTTCACAGAATTACAAATATAATCAACAACTATAGATTGTTCACTACGTGTTAATTATACCACAATGTGAACAAAAGCATTATCTTTTATAGTGAACTGGATTTTGTTTGATCCACCATGCTTTTTTCCAGCAAATCCACCATGTAGCTATAAACAATAAAATTCAATCCAGACACACCTATATTTTACATAGCTTATATAGACACAACAATATGATTGTAACAAATTAAATTCAAAATACCAATACAGAACTTTGGATGAGAAAGGACAAGAGGACACTATCGAATTTTGCTAGAAAAAGGAAAGTGCAAACATTTACGTTGTTTTTAATCTCAGAAACCGTAGATGATTCTGTGGAGATTTCACAGGATATTAGTGACAAAGTGGACAAATTGGTTTAAGCCTTTTGTAGTAGTAACAGTGCTTGCATACTTTATTCGTGTCATTTAGATCACATTTTGTTTGTGGCTCAAGGTTAACCATATTTACATAGCACCGCCTATTCATACGAACATGAATTTCACTGAGTGAGTTCTGTATGGTATGTCAGTATCAACTTTTTTGCATTTTCAATACATGGAGATCAATGAGTTCAATACTGAAACATTTCTATCAAATCCCAACTCAACCAATATCGCACTATATTTTTATGCCTGCACATCTATCAAATCTCTATTCAACCGATATCGTACTATATTTTATGTCCGTACAGGGTGTAGACCAGTCACTTAGTTTAACTTAAAAGGATAAAAGCCAAATTTTATACAATAAAATTAGGAAAAAGACACATGTCACATCATCTAAAAGATGACAAGTTTGTAGCAAAGTATTTGCTGATTATAATCGTTTTTGGTTTCCATATTTTACAAACCCATTTAATAATTTGTATAGAGGTCCATATTAGAAGCCTGATAGATGTTTGGAATCAGAAGCTCCAGGACCGGACTTTCGTAACCCACGATGACTGCTGTGTTTTTTTCCATTTTCGGTTATCTGAGTTAATCATGGCTGTAATCTTGAAGCCTAAAGTTTGAAACAATTTACGATAAAGAATAATATGCTGCTATTTTACATCTAAATCTTAGTATTAATTATTAAGATGCTGCGACTTCACTTCTAAATTTTAGATCTTTTTTCAGGTTAAAGTTTCTATTTCTATTACGAAGGCCATTGGACTCATACAAGCTTCCAGTAGTGACCAGGCCATTGCAGCCCAGAATTAAAGGATTTGGTCATTCTCAATATCAGCTCCTCAAGATCTCCTTTGTAACATCAAATGACTACACTCGGGAGATTGGCTAAAAAGGAGTTTAGCATGTAGGATCGAAGAGCAATCTCAGATTCTTTCATAAACATAGCGACTTTCTTTTATCCTTCTTCTGTTACTGCGTTAATTAGAAACTGAAGATCATCATTAGTCAGCATTTTCAGCAAGTTGCAGTGTAAGATATGTTGAATATTCTGTTGGAATAAACTTGAAGTTAGCTTGAGAAGCAAGTTATCCTAATCACACAAAGATATGGTTTACTAAAGTGATTAGGAAATATGAGTGATTGGGAAATATATGATTGTGTTATTACCAAAAGGATTAGGAGCTATCTAGCTCTATATAAATGGATACAGGTATGTGGTAATCTCTATGAGTTTCTGAGTGATTGTGATTGAAAGTTTTTGAGTGATTTTTACCTTTGAGATTAATAAGAGTTGATACTTATTAAACGTGTTCTTGAATTCGTGATTCTGCAAACTTAAACTGCAAGATAATATTTGGTATCTGAGTCTTATATCATCATGTGCGATGTTAAAGAAGAAGCTAAGGAAGCCGGCCCCTCTTTGGTGAAGCTACCTATGTTGAATGCTACCAACTACATCGTCTGGGCCATAAGGATGAAGATAGTTCTTAAGGTAAACAAAGTATGGAAAACCATTGATCCAGGGAGCAAGAACGAGGATAAAAATAATATGGCTATAGCCCTACTCTTCCAGTCAATACCTGAAGTATTAACGGTACAGGTCGGAGAACATGACACTGCGAAATCGGTGTGGGATGCAATTAAAGCAAGCCATGTTGGGTCTGAGAGAGTACGAGAGGCACACTTACAAACATGGATGGACAAGTTCAATCGTCTTAAGATGAGAGAAGGAGACACAATTGATACTTTCGTAGGGAGACTTTCAGAGATATCATCAAAGTCGGCTTCTCTAGGAGAAGTCATTGCACTACAAGAAAACACGTCTTTTACTAGGACGGATTTTCCTCGTTATTTCCTAGTAAATGGCCATTTACTAGGAAATAATGAGGAAACGTGTTTCGTCGAAAGACGTTCATCGTAAAGCCTATTTTCTTCGTAATTGCCTAGCTAATTTACGAGGAAAAGTTTCCTCGTAAAGACGTGGAAAAGGTTTCCTCGTAAGCTCCACGTAGACTTTCCTCGTAAGGGCATAGTAAACTATTTCGTTGTAACCTCGTAGTAGGTACTTTACGAGGAACTTGCTAGGAAAGTTTACGAGGAGTTTACTTCGAAACGTTTACGAGGATTTTGCTTCGAAAATATTTTTTCCTATTTAAAAAAAAAATATTTATAAATTAAAATTATATATATTAAAAAAAATTAAAAAAATAAATAACAAAATATTTATAAATAACTAAATAATATACAATTAATAAGTTTTAAAGTTCATAATATACAATTAAAAACTAAAAAAAAAAAATTAAAAGGGATGATGGTCTTGAAATTGGTTCACAAAGTCGTCGTCTCCAATGTTGGATGCCGGCTGTGACTGAGATGGTGGAGGCTGTTGGGATGGAAGGGCTCCGCTTTCCCGTCTCTGACGCAACACTTCCGCCACTTGCGGATTTCCAACCGCCACAAGTCTGGCAAATACTCTTTAAACAAGTCTGCCCATGCATCCATACAATTTTCAGGTAGATTGTGATCGGTTTTAATACTCATCATTCTAGCAGCCAACGACAATTTAGACAGACATTCTCTACAACCACTGTAAATTGGCTCATTTA